TAGGCCCTTCTGGAGCTTTTGCTGCAAACAGTTGGCCTGAACTTCATGAGAAAGGGACACCAAATAACAACATTCACAACACAACTCAGTGTCTATATGAAAGATCCAAACATGCTAGTGCTATTCTTTATTTCCATTGCAGTTTAATAATGCAATGGGATTCTACTTAGTGAATTATTTTTGCCAAGATTTTACTCAAGAATTAATGAGATATAGTTTCAATCTGAAACTATGATGTTGAGTTATTTCCCTAGGGAAGAGGAAATAAATTCATTGATAGATAAATACAATATGCAAGTGGGCACTATCAATTAAATTTAAAACCCACACTTAAAAATGAAACTAGTGGGGGATGGAGGAGTTTGGGTGAGGGGAAGGAAGAGTTGGGGTAATGGGGAGGGAAAAGGATGGAGTAACAATATTTGATAGGAAAAGTACTCATTACCTACTCATGTAACTGTAACCCCTTTATGTGGTACTTTTACAATAAAAATCATATAAAAATGAAACTAGTAATTTCTATAATCATAAATCAGGCAAAACTATTCTCCTAATATTACCCTTGTACTTATGGCATGGGACATATTTGTGACAAACTCAGGTAGTGAAAATCACATGATGATAACACTTACTATTCCTTGTACTATAAGAACATAAAACTAATTCCTAATAGATTTTTAAATATCCTGGGTATGAGCTGGTAATATATGGTCATGTAACTATATCATGGTCTAGTTTTCAATTGCTTAATGACCAATGCAAATAAATTAAACTCCTTTGGTTATATATTTATATTTTCAAATTTAATAAAAAGTGTGGGCCTCACTTCAGATGTTCTGCTGAAAGTATGTATGCAGCTGAGGGGTTATCTCCCTAATTCAGTGCTGAAAACACATTCTTCAAGCTAGTTGAAGGTTTATTTTTAATTTCTAATTTTTGAGTGTTTGTGAATGCTGTTGTGTGTGTTTTATTTGAGTGTGTTTGTGTGTGCAGTTGTGTGTTTTATTTGAGTGTTTGAGTGTGCTGTTCTGTGTTTTATTTGTGTTTGTGTGTGCTGTTGTGTGTGTGTTTTATTTGAGTGTGTTTGAGAATGCTATTGTGTTTGTTTTATTTGAGTGTGTTTGGGTGTGCTGTTGTGTGTGTTTTATTTGAGTGTGTTTGTGTATGCTGTTATGTGTGGTGTTGTTAAGGCAGTGCAATGAGATACCTGGCTGAAGAAAACTAGAAAAGACAGAGAGAGAGAGAGAAAGAGAGAGAGAGAGAGTAAGAGAGAGAGAGAGAGAGAGAGAGAAAGAGAGAGAGAGAGAGAGAGAGAGAGAGAGAGAGAGAGAGAGAGAGAGAGAGAGAGAGCAAGAGATAATGGATGAGACTCAGACAGGACCAGGAGTCCCAAGACTCTCTGGCACTTGGACCCTGAGTCCCCACAAATGAGTATATTTATTTGAGTTCACACAGGGAAGGATACCATGGATGCATGCAAAAATATATCATCAATATTAGTATTACAATCAGAGCTAAAACATAGCTTTAGAGCTAAAATACAGAGCTAAACATAGAGCTAAAATGTAGAGCTAAAATAGAGCTAACACATAAAAGTAGTTCTCTTATTCATTTGAGACAGGAGACTTCAGCCCACAGACAGTCCAGACACCATGCCCAATTATCTTTCCCAAGGTAAAGTTGTGAAATTCTTCTGTCCAGCCTACAAGGTCCCCAGCACAGCTGCTGGCCTAAGAAAAGGGAGTGGGATGGGATTTCAGTCCCTTAACTCTCCAGAGATCTCTGTTTTAACCCTACCATGGCCAGCTCTCAGCTTTCCAAATGTTGTCAAGGTACTCAGTATCCCAACCACTCAAACCTTTTCCAGCTTTCACAGCTCCACTTCAGTTACCTGTGTGTGTGTGTGTGTGTGTGTGTGTGTGTGTGTGTGTGTGTGTGTGTGTGTGTGTGTACTCTGGGACTTGAATACAGGGTCTGAGTGTTCTATTAGTTTTTTACTAAAGATTAGCACTCTACCATTTGAGCCACCCATCCATTTCTAGCCTTTTGGTGGCTCTATGGAGATAAGAGTTTCATAGACTTTTCAACTGTGGTTTCAAAATGCTCAAAAATCAGCAATCTGTGTTGCTAGGGCTATAGGCATGAGCCATAGGTATCCTGGCCATATTTTTTTTATTGAACTCTTCTTATTAACTACATTCTCCAAATTTATAATGAATTGGATATTATTCTTTCTGCTGACATAATTCAACTTGTTTCAGATGTGTGCTATAATAAAATGCTTTACTCATGCATATATTTCATTATAGTGCTTTGAGTATCAATAATAACATTGTGTCACTACAGACACATGTTCATTTTTCAGAACTAGCTTAAATCACAGTTCAGATTTTCCATTCTCAGAGGGAAAATAGGAATAAACACACTATGATAAAAGTTATTATTTAAATTTTCTGACAGTTAAAACTATATCTGAGTTCAAATTTAGATGTCATAAAATTTAGAATATGAATTGTAACAGAGAGCAACCAAAGTACGCTGAGCACCTGCTTGTGTTTCACTGGTTAAGATATAAGTGGAACTTTCGTTGACCTTACAGTAAAGGTCACAGCAGGAACACAGGTGAGAAGAATAAGGATCAGGTCCCTGTTGCACACACTGATCATCCTAGTGAATGAGACTCCATAAAGAACTGCATCCTGTTCCCCATGAGAACTGGGTTTGTCTTCAGTCTTTTATTTTCCCAGAGGGTAATACAGAGTAAATTGGACATTATTTCCTTCCAATAAAAAGAGGACCTCAAGTAAGCTGAAATCATTCACATTTTCCCTCACACCATGAATAGAAGAGGTCTAATATTAGCACTTTGAATCCTATCCGGTGAGTCTGAATATTGGAACTTCATAATATTGTGGGAAAGCCAGGAGGTAGAGAACTTCCAAGCCTGTCTATGACCATGTGGAATGAAATGTGTATCCATGTGTAAGTGCTTTCATGCCAGGAGATTATCTATGCTGAGTGCGAATTTCCTTTAGCATATTCATTTAGTTATTACAATAATTGAAAAAGTGACTTAACTACTACAGCTCATATTTATGAGGTACGGTGTGATTACTTGATGTAACATTTCATATGAAATAACCAAATTAGAACAATTCTCCTTACTACTTAGAGGAATACTCCATTTCAAACTCCCTTCTTCTCTTCCCAGAGTCTGCCACACTGGCTTTTAGCTATATTTCAGAGTTCAATGTTCCATTTTCCCTTTTAGGCATGACAGGTGATGCTGTCCCCTATACAGATAATTAAATGAAAGTTTATTACCAAGATTAACAAGAAGCCATTGTCTTATACTAATATTTAGTACATAGAGAGTAAAATTAAGTTATATTTCAAAGATAATCTCTTCAAATATCTTCACCAAATAGTTTTAAAAATTATCATATAATAACTATTCATTTGCATAGGGCATAATTACTTGGTAACTGAAAATAACATAAGAACCATCATTTTCCACTTTCTACATTCAATGAGATTGAATACCTTTTTAAGCTTTCCAAACATGATTTACCACAGAGACAGAAGCACGAATATGGAAAGTTTTTCCTATTATATTTTTTTATTTTTTTATTGTCAAGGTATGTACAGAGGGGTTACAGTTATATAAATAAGAAAATAAGTAAATTTCTTGTTGAATTTCTTACTTGCTCCATCATTTTTCTCCCACATTCCCTCCCCAAATCCCCAGGTTGTACAGATCATTTCCAACATATATAAAATAGTGAATTTGATAAATATATGCATCTAACCGTAAGCCTAATTAGAGATGGATCCATCAGAATAGTTTCGGAATTCAACTTTATTAAACACCTAGAACTGACAGTTAAAGAGTAGCAGAAAAATGTAAATTTCTAATGTTAGAAAGCTCCATATGTTTTCCTTAATAAAATAAGCCTTTTTCGACTTTGTTTTCACTATTTTCATGTTCATTTGTTTCTTAGTGTTGACAAGTTGTTTAGCATAAAGGTACTGGTGGAAACATTCAAAGACTAGAACCTTTCAGAAGAGGATTATTTGGTATGTTTTTTAATTGAGACTTATTTTCTAGAAAGTATAATGCCAAAAATAAAGCAACCAATCCATGATTAAGAAAGCAATAATCTGCGTATTAACTTACTGTACATTCTGCAGGAATTAATGATGTCTTAATTGGTATCAGTTTTTCTAGAGTGCACTCATCAGAACACAACATGCCTCCTGCTCAGTCTCATTACACACTTCACACTTACACTGTGCTTTCTCTTTTTCTAGCTCTGTTCATATATGTGTTGTTATACAAAGTTTTTACTTAGAAATTTAGGTAATGATTCAAGATAAATTTTACAAAAATATATTTTCTTATTAATAAACATGTGATTTGATAGAAGATTTCTTAAAATATATTTCTTTAATTTTTCTAATAAAAATATGTAATTTTAAGACATATTGTATTAAAGAAAGTAAAAGAAATGCATGCATTTAACAGAGTGAAAATGCTTTATAAATATTTGAAAACATGTTCATTGAGGAATGAAAATGTGCTCAGTAAAATGATAGCTGGACATTTGCCTGATGAAAATGACCTTCCTTTCTCACTATCATATAGGATTGGACACCATGACCAACCTCACAGTGGAGATGGACTTCTTCCTCACCCAGTTCTCTGACAACAAGCAGCTCCAGGTCTTCCATGGCTTTCTCTTTCTTCTGATCTACTTGGAGGCTCTCATGGGGAATCTCCTCATCTTCAGCCTTGTCACAGTGGACCGGTGCCTTCACACCCCCATGTATTTCTTCCTGAAGAATATGGCCTTCCTTGATGGGAGCCTCATTTCAGTCACAGTCCCTAACATCATTCTGAACTCTTTACCCATAGGAGCAACATTTCTCTCCCAGGATGTATTTTCCAAGTCTTTTTAGTAGTTAACTTTGCTGGGTCTGAACTTGGCATCCTGGTAGCCATGTCCTATGACCGCTATGTGGCCATCTGTCACCCATTAAATTATGATGTCATTATGAAGAAGGAGATATGCATGCAGATGGTAGTTACCTCTTGGCTCCTTGGCAGTATCTTTGGGGTCTTATACACAGCTGGAAGTTTCTCTTTGTCATTCTGTGGGTCCAGGAAACTTCCACAGTTCTTCTGTGATGTCCCTTCTCTACTGAAGATTTCTTGCTCTAAGAAGCATGTCACCACTGATGTTAGTGTGGCCAGTGGAGCCTTACATGGACTCTTTGGCTTTGTGTGCATTGGGTATTCATATGGTTACATCTTCCAAACTGTGCTGAGAGTACACTCATCACAAGGACATTCAAAAGCCTTCTCCACCTGTGTGCCCCATCTCATATTTGTGATTACATTTTTAGTGACAGCTGGTTTTGCCTATTTAAAGCCAGTATCTGATTCTGCTCATCTTGTGGACTTTTTGGCATCTATTTTCTACTCTGTGATGCCTCCATCTTTGAACCTTATAATATACAGCCTGAGGAGCAAGGACATCAAAGCTGCTCTGTGGAAGTTTTTGTGGAAGTTAAATCATTGAATTTTGGAAAACAAAAGAATGTATTGCAAAATAGCATTAACTTTATATCTTTTTTGTTGTTGTCTTGGCTATTGAATTAAAAGACATTCTCATTGTGTTGAAGATTCAAACTTAGTTGAGGTTTTGGCTTAGCCAGTGTAGAGGCATGGCAGAAGGTGACTGGTTCTTATAGTAGTGTATTGTAGGAGAAATCCACTGTCTAAAACATTTTAGAGAACAGACTGATGGACAGTCTATCAGTGTTTATCAGCTCATCAGCTCATGGCCATATGGTATATATTGTTCAACCAGGTGGAGAAACAGATTTTTTTCATAGTAAATCCTTGATTTATAGCAAGGAATGGAGGATATCCCTTTGTTTGCAATGCAGTAACTAACAAGGGACTAGGAAGATAAGTACCAATAGAATTTCATCTCACCGTTGCTGTGTACCAGCAGTGTCTGCTGTTGGTGAAGAGCATTCTTTCTCTGCTTTACAGATTGCCAACACTTGGTCATATCTTAAAGGGAGGACAGTGATAATAAGTTTTTATTTTGTTTCATGTCAAAACATTAAACTCACTGGCAAAGGAGACAGTCACAAAATCTAATGGCTCCCAAATCCTCAATACCAAGTATCATTTTATAGAGATTATATCTCCACAAAACATTTGGAGAGACAACAATGCGAAGTCAATGACAGGATGTTTCACAATAACTACTGATCCTAGTTATAACCATAACAGCTTTTCTATTTTATTATAGAAAGATCAAGATTCAAGATGGACTCAGGTCTTCCTAAATCCAAGAGGATATTTAGTCTTCTTAATACTTTTGTCACAGAGATCATATGTACAATATCCTACCATTATCATTTCATTCTAATTTACATTGGTGAAGTTTTCTGTAAATCAGATATTTAAGTGTATGTCATTTATATAATATTTTTCTCAATACTACTGCTAACTTAACTATTATTAGGGGCACCCAACTTTTTCAGGTCTGATTAATCAGATATTAAATTTTAGTATTCACTTGGAAATCTCTGAATTTTCTATGTTATGAAATCAAATTTCACCTGTATTATTATGTCTAGTGTAGCTGCAGTCTCTGATACTACATTTTTGTTTGTGCTCTTTACACCAAAATCGCCCTCTTTCCTTTATAGAGATTCTGTCCTAACAATTTTAGAAGACATTTTGAAAATAGCAGAATCTTGATAATGGTGTGCATATAGCCAAAATAGACCTAATTAGATAGTTTAGGCAGGATCTTAGGGTTAACTCAGAAGAGCTCTTCTTCCTTGCCAGAAGAGAGCACACAAATGGAGAAGAATCTGTGGCATGTATTCAACGTCCTGGCTTTTAACTATTTGACACTAGGAAGACTGGTTTCTAATAGTGTTGAGGTGCAGTACTGGTGCAGAATGAAATAGTTTAAAGATAGTAGCTACTACAAGTGAAAAGTACATACCATATATTCCATATCTTAAAAGAAAATCTTGTTAAGTTTCCTGTTGTCACGATCTGAAGACAGTAGAATTTTTACCATCTGACAATTTACCCTAAGTTAAACAGTGAAGCCTCTTCTGTAGGTTTTGGTTTAGATCACTTTTAGCTTAAAATTCAAACTTTAGCCAGATCTCTCAAAGCTCTACAAATTCACAAGTTGATTAGATTTTATTCATAGGTTCTATACTAAATTGTGTATATTTCTTCTAGTTGTATTTAAAAACTTTAAGCCATCAACCAGGAGGAAATTGGCCAAGTTATTCCAAAACCAGGGCCCGGAGAACATTGTTAGACAGCCTGAGTAAAGAAAATAGAAATAAGCCACAATGCCAGAAGCTTTGCCAATGTTCATTTGGAAAAGCATAGTTTGTTCCAAATTAAGCAACATTCATGTCACTTCTGGGACCCCTAGTCTTCAAAGGGTTCATTGAGTGCTAAAGGTCACTTTTAGCAGAAATAAAGGCACTTCTGGAGCTTTTGCTACAAACGGCCTGAATTTCATGAGAAAGGGATACCAAATAACAGCATTCAAAACATATATCTCAGTGTCTATAGTAAAGATCCAAACATTATAGTGCTATTCTTTATTTCCATTGCAACTTAATAATATAATGGGATTCTACTTAGTGAATTATTTTTGCCAAGATTTTACTCAAGAATTAATAATATATATAAAAAAAGAATTAATAATATATAGTTTCAATGCTGACTTATCTGAAGCTATGATGTTGAGTTATTTCCCTAGAGAAGAGGAAATAAATTCATTGACAGATTAAAAACAATATGCAAGTGGGCACTATCAATTTAACTTAAAATACATACTTAATAATGAAACTAGTGGGGGGATGGAGGAGTTGGGGTGAGGGGAAGGAGGAGTTGGGGTGATTTGGAGGGAAAAGGAGGGAGTAACAATGCTTGATAGGAAAAGTCCTCATTACCTACTCATGTAACTGTAACCCCTCTATGTGGTATTTTTACAATAAAAATCATATAAAAATGAGACTAGTAATTTCTGTAATCATAACTCAGGCAACACTATTCTCCTAATACTATACTTGTACTTATGGCATGGGACATATTTGTGACACACTCAGATAGTTAAAATCACATGATGATAACAGTTACTATTTCTTGTAGTATAAGAACATAAAACTAATTCCTAATAGATTTTTAAATATCCTGTGTATGAGCTGGAAATATATGGTCATGTGACAATATCATGGTCTAGTTTTCAATTGTTTAATGACCAAAGCAAATAAATTTAACTCCTTTGGTTATTTATGTTTTCAAATTTAAGAAATAGTGTGGGCCTCACTACAGATGTTCTGTTGAAAGTATGTATGCAGCCAAGCGGTTATCTCTTTAATTCAGTGGTGAAAACACATTCTTCAAGCTAGTTGAAGTTTTATTTTTAATTTTTAATTTTTATTTATTTGAGTGTGTTTGTGTGTGCTGTTGTGTGTGTTTTATTTGAGTGTGTTTGTGTATGCTGTTGTTTGTGGTGTTTTTAAGGCAGTGCAATGAGATACCGGGCTGAAGAAACCTAGAAAAGTCAGAGAGAGAGAGAGAGAGAAAGAGAGAGAGAGAGAGAGAGAGAGAGAGAGAGAGAGAGAATGGATGAGACTCAGACAGGACCAGGAGTCCCAAGACTCTCTGGCACTTGGAACCTGAGTCCCCACAAATGAGTATATTTATTTGAGTTCACACAGGGAAGGATACCATGGATGCATGCAAAAATATATCATCTATATTAGTACTACAATCAGAGCTAAAACATAGTTTTAGAGCTAAAATATAGAGCTAAAAATAGAGCTAAAATGTAGAACTAAAATAGATCTAACATATAAAACTAGTTGCCTTATTTATTTGAGACCGGAGACTTCATCCACAAACAGTCCAGACACCATGCCCACTTATCTTTTCCAAGGTGAAGTTGTGAAAGTCTTCTGTCACCCTTCAAGGTCCCCAGCACAGCTGCTGGCCTAAGAAAAGGGAATGGCATGGCATTCTCTCTCCAGAGATCTGTTTTAACCCTACCATGGGCAGCTCTCAGCATTCCAAATGCTGTCGAGGTAGTATCCCAACCATTCAAACCTTTTCCAGGTTTCACAGCTCCACTTCAGAGTTACCTGTGTGTGTGTGTGTGTGTGTGTGTGTGTGTGTGTGTGTGTGTGTAAGAGAGAGAAAGTGAGAGGGACGGAGGGAGAGGGAGAGAGAGAGCGTGTGTATCCTGGGACTTGAATACAGTGTTTGAGTGTTCTATTAGTTCTTTTACTCAAGATTAGCACTCTACCATTTGAGCCACAGCTCCATTTCTAGCCTTTTGGTGGCTCTATGGAGATAAGCATTTCATAGACTTTTCTGCTCTGGTTTCAAAATCCTCAGATCTAAGCAATCTGAGTTGCTAGGGCTATAGGCACAAATACCTATTGGTACAGGTACCTGGCCATATTTTTTTTATTGAACTCTTCTTATTAACTACATTCTCCAAATTTATAATGAATTGGATATTATTCTTTCTGCTGACATAATTCAACTTGTTTCAGATGTGTGCTATAATAAAATGCTTTACTCATGCATATATTTCATTATAGTGCTATGAGTATCAATGATAACATTGTGTCACTACAGACACATGTTCATTTTTCAGAACTAGCTTAAATCACAGTTCAGATTTACCATTCTCAGAGTGAAAAATAGGAATAAACACACTATGATAAAAAGTTTATTTAAATTTTCTGACAGTTAAAACTATATCTGAGCTCAAATTTAGATGTCATAAAATTTAGAATATAAATTGTAACAGAGAGCAACCAAAGTACACTGAGCACCTGCTTGTGTTTCACTGGTGAAGATATAAGTGGAACTTTCGTTGACCTTACAGTAAAGGTCACAGCAGGAACAGAAGGTGAGAAGAATAAGGATCAGGTCCCTGTTGCACACACTGATCATCCTAGTGAATGAGGCTCCATAAAGAACTGCATCCTGTTCCCCATGAGAACTGGGCTTGTCTTCAGTATTTTATTTTCCCAGAGGGTAATACAGAGTAAATTGGACATTATTTCCTTCCAATAAAAAGAGGACCTCAAGTAAGCTGAAATCATTCACATTTTCCGTCACACCATGAATAGAAGAGGTCTAATATTAGCACTTTGAATCCTATCCGGTGAGTCTGAATATTGGAACTTCATAATATTGTGGGAAAGCCAGGAGGTAGAGAATTTCCATGGCCTGCCTATGACCATGTGGAAAGAAATGTGTATCTATATGTAAGTGCTTTCATGCCAGGAGCTTATCTATGCTGAATACAAATTTCCTTTAACATATTCATTTAGTTATTACAATAATTGAAAAAGTGACTTAACTACTACAGCTCATATTTATGAGGTGCAGTGTGATTATTTGATATAATATCTCATATGAAATAATCAAATTAGAGCAATTCTCCTTACTACTTAGAGGAATACTCCATTTCAAACTCCCTTTTTCTCTTCCCAGAGTCTGCCACACTGGCTTTTAGCTATATTTCAGAGTTCAATGTTCCATTTTCCCTTTTAGGCATGACAGGTGATGCTGTCCACTATACAGATAATTAAATTAAAGTTTATTACCAAGATTAACAAGAAGCAATTGTCTTATACTAAAATTTAGTACATAGAGAGTAAAATTAAGTTATATTTCAATGATAATCTCTTCAAATATCTTCACCAAATAGTTTTTAAAATTATCATATAATAACTATTCATTTGCATAGGGCATAATTACTTGGTAACTGAAAATCACATAAGAACCATCATTTTCCACTGTCTACATTCAATGAGAATCAATACCTTTTTAAGCTTTGAAAACGTGATTTACCACAGAGATGGAAGCACAAATCTGGAAAGTTTTTCCTTTTATATTTTTTTATTTTTTATTGTCAAGGTATGTACAGAGGGGTTACAGTTATATAAATAAGGAAATAAGTAAATTTCTTGTTGAATTTCTTACTTGCTCCATCATTTTTCTCCCACATTCCCTCCCCAAATCCCCAAATTGTACAGATCATTTCCAGCATATATAAAGTAGTGAATTTGATAAATATATGCATCTAACCATAAGCCTAATTAAGAGATGGAACCATCAGAATAATTATGGAATCCAACTTTATTAAGCATCTAGAACTGAAAGTTAAAGAGGAGCAGAAAAATGTAAATTTCTAATGTTAGAAAGCTCCATATGTTTTCCTTAATAAAATAAGCTTTTTTCGACTTTGTTTTCACTGTTTTCATGTTCATTTGTTTCTTAGGGTTGACATGTTGTTTAGCATAAAGGTACTGGTGGAAACATTCAAAGACTAGAACCTTTCAAAGCGGATTATTTGGTATGTTTTTAAATTGAGGCTTAATTTCTAGAAAGTATAATGCCAAAAACAAAGCAACCAATGCATGATTAAGAAAGCAATAATTAATGATGTTTTATTTAGTATCAGTTTTTCTAGGGTGCCACTCATCAGAACACAACATGCCTCCTGCTCAGTCTGATTACAAACTTCACACTTATACTGCACTTTCTCTTTTTCTGCCTCAGGAAATTGTAAGGTGACAACTTGATCAGTTCTTAGATTCTGTTCTAAGTTAGAAACAGAACACAATTCACATTGTCCCACCTTTGATATATAAGTCCACAAAGATTCTGTTGTTTCCTGAGAGGTATAAATTCACCTCTGTGCAACTCAGAAGGCTTGGCAAGTTAGACATGTTCAGTGGGGATACTTAGCAAATTACCATTTTTTCAGAAAATAAATACGTGTGAATATTAGAGATATGGCCAGGGACCCGTGGCTTATGCCTATAATCCTAGCTACTCAGACAGCTGAAATCTGAAGATCACCATTCAAAGCCAGCCTGGACAGGATAACCTTATCTCTAATCACAGAAAAAGCTAGAAGTGCCACTGTGATGCAAGTGATAGAGTGCTAGCCTTGAACAAAAAGAGGCTCAAGGACAGTGCTCAGGTCCAGAGTTCAAGCCTCTTATTAGCCAGAGAGAGAGAAAAAGAGAGAGGGGGTGGGCATTTTATATATATTCAAACATCCAGTTTATTGGACTTTTCAATTTAATAAAATTATCCTTTCTTGCCTACAAAACTATTTATTTTTTAATTTAAATTTAATGTGGTGATGTACAGAGGGGTTACAGTTACATAAGGTAGTGAGTAAATTAGTTGTTCAGCTTGTCACCCACTCTCATTTTTCTCCCACTTTGCCAAATTGTACATTTCATTTGCAACATATTGTCTTGTGAGTATCGCTGTTGCATTAGTCCTTTGTCTCACCATTTTGTTGTTCCCCTTCCCTTCTCTAATTCAGATAAACATATAAACAATACACAGGGTATCAAAATCAAATACAGTGACAAGGGGTAAACCATATGGAAAACACAAAAGAGAAAAGAAATCACATAGTACATTAAAAACAAGAACAAAGAAAAAGCTCCTGTTCCATAACTTAGAGTTCATTTCAGTTAGCATCATCCTGTATGGTCATATGTACATAACTATTGAGATATTCTGCTCATCTGTTAGAACTATCCTAGACATATACTACTTATTAAAAATGAGGGAAACCATGGTATCTATCTTTCTTTTGGTCTGCTTTAGTTCACTTAATATGATTTTTTCTAGGTCTTTCCATTTACTTATGAATGTGGTGATGTCATTGTTCTGATGGAAGCATAGAATTCCATTGTGTATATATACAACAGTTTCTTGATACACTGAGGGATAGCTGGGTTGATTCCTTATCTTAATGATGGTAAATAATGTTTCAATAAACATGGTTTTGCTGGTAGTTTTAGTATGTCCTGTTTTGTGGTCATTTCAGTAAATGCCCAGAAGTGGAATTGCTGAGTCATAGAGAAGCTTTATGTTTAGTCTTTTGAGGAACCTCCCATACTTCTTTCCAGACTGATTGAACAGATTTTTACATTCTTACCAATAGTTTAGTAGGGTTCCCTTTTGTCCATATCCCCGCTAGCATCTGTTGTTACTAGATTTCTTGATAATGGACATTCTAACTGGGGTGAGGTGGATTTAAATTTCTTTTATGGCCAGTGATGTTGAGCAGTTTTTCATGTGTCTCTTGGCCATTCTTATTTTCTCTTCAGAGAACTCTCTCTCTTTAAGTCTTTAGCCCACATTAATGGGGCTGTTGTTTCTTTGAGGAATTTTTTGTGGGGAGGGAATCTAATTTTTTGAGTTCTAAGTATATTTTGTGTATGAGGCTACTAACTGTTGTATGGCTAGAACATATTCTCCCAATCTTTGGGTTTTTTTAAAATTTATCTTGCTAGCTATGTCCTTTGTCATGCAGAAGTTCAGCAGTTTAATAACAATACCAAACAAACAAAAAGCTATAGTAATAACAACAAACAGCTCGGTACTGGCATAAAACAGGCCTGAGGACCAATGGTAGAGAACGGAAAACCCAGAAATGAACCTGCAGACCTATGGCCAACTAATCTTCAATAAGGGAGCCAAAAAAATAGGATGAAAGACAGCTTTTTCAACAAATGGTGCAGGATAAATTGGTTAAACATCTATAGAAAACTGAAGTTAGATCCTTATATATCATTCTGCACCAGAATTAACTCCAAATGGATCAAAGACCTGGAGGTAAAAGCAGACACCCCAGAAACATTACAGGAAAGAATAGGAGAAACACTAGGGCCCCTTGGCACAGGTAAAAATTTAGTTAAAAAGACCCAGAAATATAACCAATCAAAAATGGCTGGACAAATGGGATTGTACATAATTATTTCTTACATTTCTTTCTTCTTTACACACTGAAATATTGAGCCACACTGACAAGTATCTCACTACAACTCTTTTCCAGTGCTGTGATTCTGCAATGTATATTTATTAACACCCAGTTGTTATAAAATGGGCTTTCACATCAATGCTACTAATCTCATTAGAAATACAGCAAGTAAGGGCGTGAGTTAGAGAGGGAGTATGTGTAAGAGACATGAAAGGCATTGTAGTGTACATGAGATCAAACGGAAAAAGCCTGTGGATCAGGAATGCTAAACATTTTCCTATCTTATCACCCATACTTACTATTATTTTTTATATTACAGTTCTATAATTATTGTTTTGCTTATTTTTTTCTTCTTAATATTATCTTTAAGTAGTTGTACAAAGAGTTGACATTTAAAAAAGGAGGTTTGGTTTTTATTTTTTATATTCCTTTATACATAAGATTAATTTTTTGATAAGACTGTACAATGTATGTAGCAATAAAAATAAATGGAAAATTTTGTTCTCAATGAAAATGTAACTTCCTGATGCAATCAAAGCCATAAACAAACAGATTCAATGGCAACGTTCTCTTAGAGATTTCTTACACATTGGTTGTACTACACAATGACTTCATTCAAAATTTAATTATTCAGGATAAATTTTTTAATGACAGAGGTTATTTATTATTGTTTTAGCACTTATTATGTATTACATCCCAATTAAAAACAGTCCTAACCATTCTTCTATAACCTTCTTTGATATGCTTTCTGCTCTTCTTTATTAAAAAATAAATGAGAGATAGATGGAGCAAGATTGGTTACATGTTTATCATTGTAGTGCATGTAGGTTCCTTAAATTGTTTTTTCATACATGTTTGAATGAATTTTTCATAACAAAATTATTTTAACAAAGAGAGAAAGAAAAAAGAAAAGAGAGAGAGAGTAAGAGGGAATGAGGGAGAGAAAGGGAAAGAAGGGAAGGTTCGATTCAGATTGTGCCCCAAAATAAATGAGCAAATAAATCCTTTAGATGCTATGTAAAGATATTCTGTCTAATCTGTTAGCTTAACAACTATCATTCTAATATAGCTTGTAAGTGATAGTTTAAGGGTATGAAATGTGATATATATTAAACAGAGTAAAACTCTAAATACATTTGATCAAAATCTTGATTTTGACAAGATAAAAATGTACTGCTAAGAAGTGAAATGGAGCAGAGGAAATCTCAGCATGAAATAATCATGTGTCTTTACTTCTTTTGTCTACAGGAATTAAATAAGGTAGGAGCCATGGCCAACCTTACATTAGAGACAGACTTCATTCTCACTCAACTCTCTGACAGCAAGCAAACCCAGCTCTTCCACGGCTTTCTGTTTCTACTCATCTACATGATCACTCTCATGGGGAATCTTCTCATCTTTACCCTTGTCACCATGGACCGGTGTCTTCATACCCCAATGTACTTCTTCCTGAAGAACTTGTCCTTCTTTGATGTGGGCCTCATTTCAGTCACTGTCCCCAACTTTATTTGGAACTGTTTGACTCACAGGAGTATCATATCTTTCTCAGGATGTGTGAGTCAGGTCTTGTTGGTGGTTCATTTTGTTGGGTGTGAGATTTTCATCCTGACAGCCATGTCTTACGACCGCTATGCGGCGATCTGTCACCCACTACACTATGAGGTCATCATGAACAATAGAATCTGTGCACAGTTGGTAGCTGTTTCTTGGTTCCTTGGCAGTATCTTTGCCATGTTATTCTCAGGTGGAACTTTCTCTCTATCATTTTGTGGTTCCAGAAAACTCCCACAAATTTTCTGTGATGTCCCCTCTCTACTGAAGGTTTCTTGCTCTAGGAAACATACCATCACTGATGTTAGTGTGACCATTGCAATCACATATGGATTTCTGTGCCTTGTGTGCATTGGGTATTCATACATTTACATCTTTAATACAGTGCTGAGAATGCCATCCCTACAAGGGCGGTCGAAAGCCTTCTCCACCTGTGTGCCCCATCTCATAGTTGTCACCACGTTTATAGTTACAGCTGCTTTCGCGCATATGAAACAAGTCCCTGACTCTCCACAGCTTGTGGACTTCTTAGCATCTGTTTTCTATTCTGTGGTGCCTCCATCTTTGAACCCTGTAATATACAGTCTGAGAAATAAGGAAATCAAGGCTGCTGTTTGGAGGCTCCTATGGAGACTGCAACATTGTATGTTGGGAAAACAATAGAATCAATATCTAGAAAGACAAAGGACATGACGTATGAATTTTATTGAAAATCTATGTCTATATCTACATTTTTAGTTCTCTTATTAACATATATGTTATTTAATATGATATAAATAGCTCCGCATTTTGTTTGCTGTTAATTATTTTGTTTATACATACTTGGATGTAATTTACAATTTCAGTATAATGCAATAATGAAATTATATCATAGCTCATACAAGCTTGATACTGAATTCTTGAAGTGACACATGTAATTCAGACTTGAAGTGCACAGTGACAAAGCTACCAGTTTCTACCTCCTTGGAGCCTGAGAATACATTGCTTAATGGTGCAAAAAAATCAAGTGTGTGGCCTTGTTTGTGATTGTTTGGGTAAATGCCCAGAAATAGGATTTCTGGGCCATAGGGGAGCTCTAGGTTTAGTCTTTTGAGGAACCTCCACTCTACTTACCAGAGTGGTTGATTACATTCCTACCAACAGTTTAGTAGCATTCCCTTTAGGCAACTTCACCACTAGTATTTACTATTATTTGCTTTGTTGATAATGTCCATTCTAACTGTGGTGATGTGGAATTTCAATGTGGTTTTGAATCACATTTCTTTTATTGCCAAAAATGTTGAACCTTTCTTCCAGTATCTATTGGCCGTTCTTATTTCCTCCCCAGAGAAGTCACTTTTTAATTATTTAGCCCACTTATTAATGGAGTGGTTATTTCTTTGAGGTTTTGTTTGGGAGGCTTTAACTTTTGAACTCTAGGAATTTTTTACATGAAGCCTTTGTCTGCTGTATAGCTACAGAAGATATTCTCTCAATATGTTCATCTGCCTCCCAATCTTTTTATCTTGCTAGCTGTACTTTTGAAATACAGAACCTCTGCAGTTTAGTGCAATCCAATTTATCCACCCTTTCTTTGATTTGTTGTGCGTTTGGTTCTTTACATACAACTATGTTCATTGCAGAATTATTCACCATAGATAAGATATGGAACCAAACCAGATGCCCAACAGTAGATGAATGCATCAAGAAAACGTGGTATATATAGACAATTGAATTCTATGCTTGCATCAGAAAGGATTGTATCACCTCATTCATAAGGAAATGGAAAGACTTGGAAAAAAATCATCATAAGTGAAGTAAACCAGACCCAAAGAAACATAGGATCCATTATTTCCCTCATTTTTAATAACTAGTATATGTCTAGGACAGTCCAAGCAGAGGGTCACAATAGATCAATAGCTATGTACATGCAACCATATAAGATGATACTAGGTTTGTTGTTGTTATTGTTGTTTTTGATGTACTGTGTGAAGTTATTTCTTTGTTCTTTCATTTTTTATCCCTTTGGTTTATAACCTGATGTCACTGTTTTTGATTCTGGTACACTGTGTTTTTGTATATACTTTTATCTGAGTTAGGGAAGAGAAGGGGAACAACAAAATGGTGAGACAAAGGACAAAGTGTGAACCAATGCAACCATTGATAGTCAACACTATGTTGGAAATTAATTTTACATTGGGGGTTGGAGGAACCAAGGGAAGGGGAAGTGGGAGAAAATGAAGAAGTGGGTAAAATGTTTGATAATAAATATACTCTTTACCCAATGTAACTGTAACTCCTCTGTACATCACCTTTTCATCAAATAAAATATTCATTTTTGATAAAAAGAAAGCAACTCATTACACATGTGACTGTAACGCCTCTGCATATCTTTACAATAAAATAAATTTAGAAAAATAGAATCAAGTGTGGTTACATGACAGTGTTTGGAAAGTGTATATCATTCAAATGGTCACAATACAATCTGGTTGAGTAGTGCTTGATATTTTCCCTGCAGGAAGACCTGTGTCTAGGGAGGGAGTATATTCACAATGATGAAACAGAAGATGATGTACACTGCTGTATGAGAGTAGCCTCTAAGGATAGAAGATGTAAGAGGGCACATTACCTCGAGAGATATCAGGTGAAATACCCAGGCAAATCTGTAATGCAATTCTAAATTACAGACCTGGAAAACTAATATTATTATTATTATCTTCTGATCTTGGAGCTTGAATTCTGGGCTTGGGTTCTGTCCCTGAGCTCTCGTGTACTCAAGGCTAGCACTCTACTACCTAAGCCATTGCTCCACTTCTAGCTTTTTCTGAGTAGTATAGTAGTGTTGAGTCTCATGACTTTTCTGCCTGGGCTGGCATCAAACTTCAATCCTCAGATCTCAGCCTCCCAAGTTACTTGGATTACAAGTTTGAGCCTGGCTTTTTAAAGTCATATTTTATTTTGAAACATGGAATATGACTACAGTTATACAAGTAATCACAAGCCTTGAAGATCTCTATAATGCACTAAAGGAAGTCAGAAGTTTGATATGCACACATCCAAAGTCTCTAAAGTTAATAAAAGATGAAGAATGATGAAAACAATAATCAGGAGATTTTAAGTCAAACATTTCCACAGTATACTCAAAAGTCTGTTATCCATGTCTATTTATAATATATTAACAAAGAATTTACAATTTTACTGCATTTACATTATTATTTTTGTTCTACTAGCTTCTTTATAGTAAAATCAGTGTTTGAATGAGCTATTAAAGCAAGATAAGATTTTAACGAGATTTCTTGAGCTTATCAATTTCATGGTCGTTTTAATTTGCTTTTGTTGACATTTTTGGTCCGTATTTTCTAGTGTATTCTTAATTTTCTAGACCTTTTCTCATTTCTTACTGCTTTTTCTATATGTTTAACTTAAAAATAAAATGTGTTTTTACTGCAGGAAAGAAAAATAGATGAAAGTTAACTGAAAATTTTAGCTTTGTGTTGAAACATAGCAGCGTAAGGGTAGCTCTTAGAGGAGTGTGCTACAGGGAACAAACACTGCCTTAAACATGTTACATTTCAGAGTAGAGTTCATTAGTGTTTGCCAACCAGCTGTGCACTATTTGAAGTCAAGTATTCTGTCACATGGGAAACAGTTTACACCATCTGGATGGCAGGAGGCAGGGCCAGAAAGGGTGGTGATGTTCATGGTAGGTTTAGAGTGCTTTAACAAATAATAGACTGGGAAGCTTAGCAAGAAAAGAATTTGGCATCCTAAATCGAATATAGGCATCTGACACTAGGCTGGGTATAGAATGTCCTAAGATTGGTGCTGGCTTTCTGTGATTTTCAGGTTTAAAGCACCTCGTTGCGTGGAGAAGCATGAGACAGAGTCTGGGTTTCTTATGACACCATTATCTCGTTCATGAGGGACCCACTGTCATAATCTAAAGCCCACATCTAAAATTCACAATATCATATATGATCCTATAAGTACATTGACAGGACCTAAATGTTCACTTTAAAGCAGAATGCTTTTCAATAACTGCTAAATTTTCTACTGGAATTTAAAAAGAAGGTGAATCAATAGCAATGATGGTCTTCCTAGGTCCAGGAAAAAAATTAAATGACCAATATTTTTAAATTAGGAATGCACAGACAGAGCCGGGCACTGGTGGCTCATGTCTGTAATCCTAGCTACTCAGGAGGCTGAGATCTGAGGGTGGAAATTCAAACCAGCCCAGCCAGGAATGGCCATGAAACTTTTATCTCCAATAAACATCCAGAAAACCAAATGTCTCTGTGGCCCAAGTGGTAGAACGCTAGCCTTGAGCTAAAGAGCTGAGGAACAGCATGGAGGTCAAAATTCAAGCCCCGTGATCAACAACAACAACAACAAAATATTAACAGTATTTCATTTCCCAGTTCAGTTTTACATGGATTTACATGAAAAAAAAAATCCCTCCAGCTGGGTCCCAATCTCTCACAGCTGTAATCCTATCTACTCAGGAGGCTGAGATGTGAGGGTCATGATCTTGCCAGCCCAGGCAAGAAAGTCCTTGAGACTCCTATCTCCCCAAAAAACCAGAAGTGGTGCTGTGGCTCAAATGGTAGAGCACTCACCTTGAGCTGAAGAGAGCAGGTTCAGCGCCCAAGCCCAGAAGCACCTCATTCTCACTGCAAATACTTTCACCATGATACAATTTTTTTTAATTGTGAAAATACCATACAGGGGAGTGACAATTACATAGGCAAGGTAAGGAGTACATTTCTTATCAAACATTGTTGCCTCCTCCTTTGTTTCCCCTTCCCATCCCTTTTCATCTAAAGTTTGTTTTTCAGCATAACGTCTTGTACATCTCATTGTTGCAACAGGTCCAACTGTATCCCTATTTAAACAATTTGTTTTTTCCCTTCCCCTCCACAAATTATACCAACATCAAATACAGTGAAAGCAGGAGTTATACTATGGAGGAGGGACATACAAAGCAACAAAGAAATCATCTTATAAATATGTTAGAAACAATTGCAAGGAAGAAAAAACATTTGAATCCTCATCTTGGGGTTCATTTTACCTAACATCAAACTATCTGACCTTTTCTGCTTGTCTCAGAGATATATTAGTTATTGAAACAAGGGAAACCATGGGACCTATGTTTCTTTGGGCCTGGCTTACTTCACTTAATATAATTTTTTTCCAAGTCTTTCCATTTCCTAACAAATGGGGCAATGTCATTCTTTCTGATGGAGGCATAGAATTCCATTTTGAGTGTGTGTGTGTGTGTGTGTGTGTGTGTGTGTGTGTGTGTGTGTGTGTATGTGTGTGTTTTTATCACGTTTTCTTGATCCATTCATGTACTGAGGGGCATCTGGGTTGCTTCCATATCTTAGCTATCATTGAGATACCACCTCACCCCAGTTAGAATGGCTATAATCAAGAACTCTAATACAACAGGTGCTGGAGGGGATGCGGACAGAAGGGAACCTTACTGCATTGTTGGTGGGAGTGTAAACTTGTTCAACCACTTTGGAAAGTAGTATGGCGGTTCCTCAAAAGACTCCACATAGAGCTCCCCTATGACTCAGCAATCCCACTTTGGGGCATTTATCCAAATGATCATAAACAATACCATACTAAAGCTACCCACACAACTATGTTTATTGTAGCATTATTTACCATAGCTAAGGTAT